CAGCTTACTACGGAGGGACGCCTACAAACTGGTCCTCCTCCAAACATTTCCCTCAGGTTGTTCCGCAGGTTGTTCCTTATTGCTGAATTTCTTCGTAGAAAAATTCCAGGTGATTTTCTGTCGAAATTTTTCAGAAAGGTTCTTAGTCCCGACTAGAAAACCTAGAGAAGTTGTTCTTACGTGGTCACGCCATTTATGGCCTTGCAGAGGCGCTCTCAAATCGAAGTTCAGACTGTGCACGGTTTTATCACATGCTCGCGAAAGCATAAAATTGTACGGCGTAGGGACAACACATCAACCAGCCATGGAAGTTGGATCTCCGAGGTCCTTGACATATTCAGAAGTAATGGCATTTTTCAACCTCACAAGTCCCCCCACTCCGTCGAACACTGCGCTTACCTTAGCCTTACCCTTGGAATTAATTCATAGTATTATCAGGCGTAGGATTTGCATACTTCTTACCAAAGTGAAGTTCGGAGAACCATAGATGATCGCACCATCTAAAGTACGTCGGCAGTAGCACCACGAAGAAAAGCCGTACAAGCACCTGATGGTCAATCTCGACTAATCGTGTTTTCAATCAATCGATCCATCAATCTTATCAAACTTCTGAACTTCTGCTGTGGGCGAAGGTAGTGTAGTAGCAAGTGAATCCCATTCAATTAGTCAGAGTACAAAGAATACAGGCGAGTTCGAAGTACTGTCTTGTGCATCGCCTGACCCCGCAACTCTTTGCATGGGCCACATCGCACACAATAAGCTACAAGGGTTCCGAATGGAAGTAGGAATGCGTCCCGCATCCCGAAAAGGGACTGATCAGTGGATTTCAGTTAATTTTGAGGTCATCAATTTGTAGTGTCAAGTCGACCGAAATGAGCTTTTTTGACACTCTTTTTCGCGCACTAAGCAGGGTTCGGATAATTGAGCGTCAGCTTCATTTGACGAAAGTTCAAAAAAAAAACGCTCACGAGCGTGGCGCCTATTTAAGAAGTCAAAGTTCCCATCTTTCACTGTTGGAATCAAATTCATTCTGATCTATAAGGCTGAGCCTTTTGACTTGGCCTCACTTTTTCCGAGCAGCTTTTGCAGATGCATCTCGATGAATGCGAAAAGTGTGATTCTTTTTTGTCGACTTCACGCTTCATTTCACAGCTTCGAGGTTCACGAGATTGAAATTTTTCAAATCTTCCTTGAAGGCAGTTGGCACGATAAATCCTCAGAGACGAGTAGGATTAATACACCCGGCAGGACGG